AATTGGCCTTGGCCCATCGATCCAGCCTGCCCAGATCCCTCCGTAGAGCTTTCCTACCCTCGAGCAGATCAACACTCCCACCCAACTTGGTGTCGTCTGCAAACTTACTGAGGGTGCACTTGATCTCCTCATCCAGATCATTGATAAAGATATTAAACAGAACTGACACCAAAACTGAGCCCTGGGGAACATTGCTTGTGACTGGCCACCAACTGGATGTAACTCCATTCACCACAACTCTTTGGGCCCAGCCAGTTTTTTACGCAGCAAAGAGTATGCACGTCCAAGCCATGAGCAGCCAGTTTCTCCAGGAGAATGCTGTGGGAAACAGTGTCAAAGGCTTTACTAAAGTCCAGGAAGACAACATCCACAGCCTTTCCCTCATCCACTAAGCAGGTCATCTTGTCATGGAAGGAGACCAGGTTAGTCAAGCAGGACCTGCCTTTCGTAAACCCATGCTGACTGGGCTGATTTATGAACCGATTCAGCTGGTCCATGCCCAGGGAAAAACATGTACTATGTCCCAGTATTACCAATTTCTCAGAGGGACCCATTCCTACTCAAAAGTAAGCCACACATTGAATTCCGTGGACTTTGGAGGGAGATACTTTGTTTTAAGGAGAGGGATATGCTCCAGTAAGCCAGTTGACACGCTGAGAAGACTAAGCTGGAAACCTCCCCATGAAGCTCTCTTCCGGCATTGTAAGATCACTTATTTCTATCAATTTTCACGTTTCAGTCCTGAAATCTCTTCCTTGGCTCTTCATTTACCTGAGGATATATTTGACTCACTGTATTCAGCTTGATCTCCAGCTCTTTGAATTTAATGATAAGATTCTTACTAATTTATTGGAGATCTGACCATCCTTTTATGATCTGGAAGAACCCACCTGTATCCAGATGCTGACTAGTCCAAGCAGAAAAAGTAATTATATGCAATTGTTAGTTACTGATGTATTAGTGTTCAATATTCCATGAGTTTTATATTCTCTAGCTGAAGAAAAAAGTACATGACCAGAAGCTAGAAAAGCATAAATTAGTTTGAAAAAGTTGCATGTGATTACTTCTTAATGTATCTTAACCAACTATGCTCTTTCAGCTGTTTAAAATCTAGATCGTCTCATAGATGTAAAGAATGGCTCCATCAATTTCATCACATTTTAAAGAAGGATTCCAAGCATCTTCTGAGTAAATACGCCCTCTAAACAAATATGGAAAAGCAAGTAATGTTCTTTGAGGCAACAGACCATGCAATTTGCTGGGTGGCACAGCTTCTCTATAAATTCATATATTTTCTCTGAAATGTTTTCCTCAAGCAGTTCGGCCATTAAGATGCCCATTACAACAGCAACAACAAAATCAACAATCTGCCAAACAATAGAGACTGGGATAAAAGGCCAATCTGTACTGTATGCAACAGAAGGCAAAACTCTGGAGAACAAAGCAGGTTAGAACAGCTCACATGAAAGGAAGCAGCACTAGTCACAGCAACTAAATCCATGTTATCAGACAAAAACTTTAGCTCTGTTACGCTAGACACATCAGGAAGGGGGAGGTAACAGCTAAGAATGAAGACTGGATTCAGCTGGTAGAAAAAGAAAAATATTTTGCTGGAAGCCATTGAAAATGTTGAAGTTTATATTATTTTTCTCTTTTCTCCTGTTACGGGAATCAAGTTTTTTGACAAGTCAGGAAATTTAAAAGGTTTGTTTTGTGGGATGATATTTGTTAGAGATGTTGAAATGAAATGGCACAGAGTGCACATTCAGTAAGAAACAGGAAATTAAGCACAAGGAGAAAGGGGGCTGCAGGTATGCAACACCTGCAAGGGTGACTGGCTTTGAAGCTGTTTTGGAACATTACCCCAGTGCACCTGATTTTCAAACTGTGTTAAATCTGGAGTTTACATGTCTCAGGAGAGCTATTTTGTCTATTCCCATTTCATCCATAGTGCTGCCAGAAATGCTCAGCATAAATGTTAAGACGAACATGTACTTTGTGGCCATTAAAAATCCCAAAGCACTTCTGAAAAGAACAATGATCTCATATTCTTCTCACACTCCTTTAGTTTACGATGATTATAAGCTGTCTGGGAGGAAAAAAAAAAAAAAAGCACCTGTGTTGTAGTGTATTACAATGTATGTAATTTGTAAATATGCAAATGCTTTTAGTAAAGATCCTTGTACTTCTGGTACAAGGAATTTTAGCACTTCCTAAAAATCACTTTTATCTGTGTTTATACAGCATCAATGTTATAGACAGAGCTGTCTAAATAACAAGAAAGTGCAAATGGATGGCAAGACTAAATTATCTGCAATACTTTCTAGAATAGTGAGCTTTATCTAACAGTGTGAGTGAAGTTCAACAACTTTGCACTGACACCTTTGAAGTTGACAGATTTCCTTGGAGATGATCTTCTGGCATAAAGCATGAAGGGATTTTTGCCCCTGATGTGAACCCCAGATATGACTCCAATTACAATGAGTTTCATATTCTGTGCCACA